ATTAGATTTAGTAGCTAATAAATCAATTAGAAATTCAAGTGACGAAGTTTTGCATGTAAAAAGTAGAGTTTTCAATAGGAATAATTAAAACAACAACAATAGAGATAATCAATCATCAAATAATAATAAAAAGAAATATAAAGAAAAGATTTATAAATCATTGCCTAGGAAATGTTATGGTTGTGGTGGAGTAGGGCATATATTAAAGAGTGTCCTAGTGTTGCTAATAAAGGTCAAATAAATAACACAAATCAAATAATTAAATCCAATGATCAATCAAATATGGCTTTGTGTAGTAAACCTTTAGGTGATGTATATTGATTGAGTTTTGATTATTATATTCTTGCCTTTAGTATGTGAAAGGATAATTCTTTTGAAAAATTGGCATTTCGATTGTTTTTTTTAAAAAAAATAATAATTTTTTTTTTGAATAACATGTGCAGATTTTTTTAAAAAAAATAAAATCAGCGTTGTTGTTTTTCCAAAATGATCGGGGTCTACTGGAATGTTTTATTTTCTGAAATCTGCATAAAAAATTTTCAGATCTGTTAATTCTGAATGTGACCTGTCGCACGATCAATCAAATATTTCACATATTCTGTGATCACAATTTAATGTAATACTTGAGAAAGGTTCGTCTCCACAGGGATTGTGTGATTCACTCTTCGTGTTCTAATGCAGTAAATAAAATGGGGAATTTTCTTTTATTATCTAATGAAAATAAAACAAGAAAACAATTAAATTAAGGGAGAACTAGCTATTAAGGGGATGTCTGACTCAAGAGATGCTGCAGTTATGGCACTTGTGTTTTTATCATTGATTCAATAAAGTTAGTTCTTATTAAAGTATCAATAAATTGGTTATAGTTATCAACAAGCTCTGACAACCAATTTTTCTTTACAATGTAGGTAATTAAGGTACGACCGTTAACTACCCCTAATTAAGCAAATAAACCTAGGTGCGCTCATAAGAAATATTGCCTAATCGCATTCTAATCTAGAAAAATCCAATTTAAAACAATTACTACCTAAGAGGAGCAATTATATCTAATTGTCTAACCCCATGAATGAACTATTCAACCCGGTTGTCACCTATTCAAGTGCGAATACAATTACGGATATCCTACCTAAATTGACTTTAGATTATCAAACTAATTCAAATATCGGTACCAAAATATTCAATCAATCTAACAATCACAAACGTTATTCTGAGAATTAGACAAATATTGATAATCAAAAAGAACTTTTATAAAGAAAATCAAGAATCTCCAAAACAAAAGAGCCAAAACATTATCACCCATCAAACCAGAAAAATATATACTCCATAATCAAATAACTAAGAACAAAAGAGAAAGATAAAGTCATAGTGGAATGGGGAAATTAAACGTTATTATCATAATTAGACAAATATTGATAATCAAAAAGAACTTTTATAAAGATAATTAAGAATCTCCAAAACAAAAGAACCAAAACATTATCACCCCTCAAACCAGAAATATATCTACTCCATGATCAAATAACTAAGAACAAAAGAGAAAGATAAAGTCATGGTGGGAGGGGAAAATCTTCTCTGTCAATTTGCTCATACGCGATCTATGAGTCTGTCAGTCTCCTGCGTATCTGCTCTGGCCGTTCTCCCCTCCTCTAAAACGTGTGATCCTCCTTTTTTTATTTAATTTTTGCCCTAATTATTTTGTAGTTGGGCTTTTGGGCCTTTAATTAAATTCTCATGTCAATAGGGTACTAGGTTGTGCAAATCTGAATTTTTCTTTACTTTTTCTACCAATTACGCCAAATTTGATATTTGTCCTCTGCATACAACAAATAAACAATACTCATATAAATTAGGTAGAATCCAATCAAATCACTCAAATATCGCATATAATATGAACATTTAATGTATACGATTTCTAACTATCAGAATATTGGAATGCAAGTTGTTTTTCTTTTCTTGTATATTAATTGTGAATAACATGGATTTTGTTTTCTAGGTGGAGTGAATCAACTCTTACTGTTGTGATTTGTTTTTGTTGGTTGTCTTTGTGCTTTGTGAGTTGTGTGTTCTAGACTAAGTGAATAATTTAGGTTGTTTGTTTCCCGGGAATATCTGAGTGTATGTCTAACTGCATGTTAGTTTGCTAAGCTTTGTGATAGTGTTTTCTTAGGCTTTGTGATATATTTTGTTTCTTTTTGTGATAATGTGAGCAAACTTATATTCTTAGTTACTTTGTGATCGACGTCGAATTTCTTGGTGTGATATATGCTTGTCTTTGTGTTTCTATGTGTTCAAGCATATTAAAAGGATCCTTTAGTATAAGCGTACGTTATGTCTTTCTTTGTGGTGTCATGACATGTATATACTTTGTGATTAGTTCTAAGGTGGAGTTCGCATGTTGCTTTTTTTTTTTTTTTTGCGTTAAGTTGTCCCTTTTTTTGAATGAGCTATTAGTTCCTGCAGGACTAATGCTTGCTTGTGAGTACAGGGTTACTTAACATTTATTGTGAGTGCAGGTTCATTGTGTATGGGTGAATCTTCTCAGGCAATTTCCATGCGACTTGATTAGGCGAAAAGAGTCACTAGGTTGTGATGCATCCCTACGGAAGCAACCATCGGTAAATGACTTGGCCAAAAAGGTGGAGAATATTAGATATATTTTGGCCCAACCCAATACCAAGCCCAACCCGCAACCCAAAACCCTTTAACCCGACCCGACCCGCACCTTACAACTCCCCCTTCCACCCCCTCCTCATGAGATACAGTGTATTGCGTGATTTGGCTAGTCTGGGTTTTCCTCTCCTTCTGGTTCATCTTCTTCGCGTTCTTTTCAGTAAGTTTGGGGGTTTTCTTCTTCGCCGAAATTGCAGTCGCTCTAGTTCGATTCCTTCGGTGAGTTGTTCATCTGGGTGTTCTTTGTGAGGTTTTGGGGGAAATCGATCGATTAGAGTTTAGGGTTGATCGAGTCTGTTGGTTTGGGGTTTTGTTTGGAGGCGGTTGGGTAGTCCCTAAGTGTGAGTCATTAGGTTGTAAACTGAGCCGTAAGAATAGTTTCTCCTATCGTTTGTCGAGTCGCTTGGAAATCGCCGAAAGAGAAGTCGCCGGAGCTGCGAAGCGTGGCTGGGTGTGTTCGCCGGAAGAAGGTCGAAAGAGGGAAGTTCGAGTTCTGCTTTCATATCTTTTGCCTAATCTTGGATTATGTTTGTATGTGTTCTTAAATTTGATTTACAGAAAGTTGTATTGTCTCTTTTACTGTCAATTTTGGTGGACACATTCTAGTTGATGGTTTTGTTGCTTCACAGATTATATATATAAAAACTCAACAAAAACTAATATTATAGGGACAAAATTTGAAAATGCAGTCAAATATGAGGACAAAAACTATGAATACCCCTTAAATTTACATTCAAAATATTATATATATATTTGTATCAAATTAAACAACAATTTCAATTCAAAATTTTTAAGTATACAAAATCCAAACCAAAACTCCACAAACTCAACCAATGCTTAGAATTGATTGCTAGTATTTTTCTACAATATATATATATATAGTAAAAGTATAGTTGCACCAATCAATTATTTTAAAAAGCAAAATTTCAAGATAAACTTTAAATGAAAATTTAAAACTGACATTAAGTACTTTTAAATTAAATTTGATAGCACCAAACAAACTAATTGAAGCTACAATTTGTATTTGACCAATTTGTTTATGCTTCAATTGAATAAGCTATTCAATTTAAATGTATGAATAATGGCATACACATAGATGAAAAGTAAAAATAAATTTGTTCAAGCGAAAATGAGTTTCTTAAAAAATTATTTTTTAAATTGTGAAATCAATTGTAAGGGTGATGATGCAGTAAAAATGAATAGAGGAATTCATATTTAAGGTAAAGAACCATAAAGACTTGATAAAATGAAAGTGATATGTGCCGATTTTTGCTTAATTTAACTGATTCCAAATGGGTTGGACTTAGGCAAAAATGTCATCGAAAGTAGATGTATTTTAATGAATTGACCGCGCTTCTCTTCAAGTGCGCTTTCAATAAAATTTCGACCGAATTTAATAGTTTGTAAACTGTCGATGGTTTGTATCTATAATTTCACGATCACAAATACATCCCACACCATCTTTTACGGGACCAAAAAATTACCATTATTGCTTATGCATATAGTTGTATGGATAATTTGAATGTCCGTTTTTTCAGAAAAAAAAAAAAAAAAAAATTTACCCGACAAAACTTAATAAATTTGTAATCAAATAAATTCAAATGGAATTCATGCTCAATTAATCTTAAATGGCTTAACTCAAGCCCAAATGAAGGAACAAAATCCAAATTAAGACAAAAAAAACACACACACACCTGAATCATATAAAATCATAAATATTTTTTTCTTAAATGAAAGGAAGGATAGCCCAAAAAAAAATAAAATTAAACTCAACTTCAAGTCTATGCCTAAAGTGTAAAGAAGTGTTTTTGTTCAATTATTTTATTCAAATTAAATCCAAATAATTGTCCAAATTAAACCCACCATAGACAAACATTCAAGCACAAAATAAAGCCCAATTAACATAATAGCCCAAACATAGGCTAACTTAAAATTTTATTATTTTTATTTTTAGTAAGATAGGAGTATATGATATTACCCCCTTTCGATTGAACTCGCATAAATTTATTTTTGAATTTTCTTTAAAAGACATAAAATGTGTGAATTTTTCTTTCAAATTTTAAACATGAAACTTGAGTTTGTAGAATCCTTTTTCTAAATTTTCAATGTAAAATTTGAATTTACATTCAACAATTACATGAAAATAATAATAATAATAATAATAATAATAATAATAATAATAATAATAATAAAATAACTCTAAAATTCATGCCCGGAAAATACATGGCGAAATCAAAATAAAAATTTCCCACTTCCTTTATTTGTGTTTCTAATATCAAAATAATTAAATTTATACAAACACAATTTATAAAGTAATGAAACAATAATTGATTTTATTTTTTGATAATTTTGGGTCTGTAGAGATCCACCATACGGTCGTTTATTGGTTGAACAGGCCTTGCATTCGTTTCTAATTCCTGTAATTCAAATTTATTCATATATTAATAATTTTAAATACTACCCATTTAAATATATAAGGAAAAAATAATATGTAAATTTATGTTTAATTGTAATTTAAAATTAATATGAAATAAAATATTTTTTAAAAATAAATTAAATTTTTTATTGAGTATTGTACTAATTGAACAATAGTGTTTATTATTTTGATTTAAAATCAAAACAAATGCAGGTAAGGATGTCGTATGCTTGTATTTGAGTTTAAATAGTAATTATATAAATATTTTTTTAAAAAAAAAATTATAAATATTATAAAGAATACATTATAATAATAAAAAATTCTAAAAATAAAGTCTTACATCATGAACGGCATTTCGAATCATAGTTATTTGTTCTTCAGTGACTATCCGTATCTAAAATAAAGATCGATAGTTTAATAAATAATAATAATAATTATTATTATAATAATACACCATGCAATAAGAGTTGTACCTTTTTTACGATTGTCCATAAGACATTTTGTGTGCAAGGAGGAGTCGTCAATGATCCCATATATTTGTAATATTTGCAACTCCCAAATTTTATAAGTCGGGGGTCGATAATTCCAAGAGTCTTTTTTACGTCGCGAGTGTGAGCCATTATCTTTAAATTTTGTTTCATCTTAAGAATCATTAAAAATATAAATGCGATATATGATCATCAATATTGAATTTCAATGTTATTAGAATATGAAATTGAAATTTTCTATTTTCATCCTAAGAATACGTATATATTTATAATAATATATAAATCGTCTAAATAAGACAAGAATCTCACGAATCTCTTAAATAAGATAACTACTATAAATATGATATATTGTTTTTAAATATATTTCAACACCCCTCCTCAAACTCAAAATACGATGGAACAAACTTTAGTTTGTCAAAAGTGACCGAAAAAGATATAACCGAGATTTTCCACGTACAAGTTTGAATTCGCCAAGATTGAATGAAAGTTGTGTAGTCGTCAAGTAGATCAGAGTCAGAAGCAGAACTCTCAACACAACGGAACTAGAGTCGAAAACAAGACTCGCTAACTCTATAGAGCTAAAGTCGAAAACAGGATTCGCTCACGACAGAGTTAGAGTCGGAAACAAAACTCTCTCGCTCTCAATAGAGTTTGAGTAAAAAACAAAACTCTCAACGGCGTTAGAGTCGAAAGTAGACTATGTCAGTGGAGTAGTAGAGACGGAGACAACATGGAAATAACAACATGACCGAGCATGAATGTGAATAGAAGTAAATACATTAATAAAATATAAAAATATATATGAGATATAACGGGTCATGGATGTACACGGAGAGAATTTAACTGTGATACCGTATTAGAATATCAAACTGAATTTCTCTATTTCAATCATAAGAATAAGTACATATTTATAATTATATCTAAATAGGACAAGAATGCACGAATCTCTTAAATAAAATAACTACCATAAATATAATATATTACTGTGGAATTAAATATTTATCGAATTTAAATATTTACCACGGATAGGAAGGAATCGGACCGTCCAATTTTGTACATGATGCCAATCACAGCCGTACGATTGTCTTTGGTTTGATGGACGAGATGAACTTCCATATCAAACCTGTTACAAAAATAAATGATTAGTCATAAATAAATTTATTGATTTAAATAAAAATAACCATAAGTTAAATTACATAAAATAAAAACCTTCTGCCATTGATAGTGTGCTCAGAAGGTATGTGCCAATGGCACTGTTTCAGCTCATAAAGCCTTCTATTTATTTCAATATGTCCTGCTCCATCTACCCATTTTATCTGCAAATTAATTAATTTGGGTTTAAATAAATTATTTTGCTAACACATAAAATTATCATAAAAATTTTGTCTTCAATAATTCTTTTTTTCTTAATTAAAAAAAATGAAAAAAAAATACTTCTTTTGCGCCAGTTAAGATGATCATTTTAGTTAGAGACACTATATTTTAAGTAGTATAGATTAATAAATTATTAATAATAAGTTGTAATATTATTTTATTATGAGTACTTTATTGATATTTTAAATATTTTTAGCATTATATATACAATATGGATATCAGTTTGTAGAGAATAAAATTTTATATAATTATTTATATTTAAATTAAAACTAATTTATTAAAAATAAGAAGTTTCAAATATAGATAAAAATATTTGTTAATTGATGAGAAATAGAAATAAAAAATTTTTGAGTGATTTGTGTAAGATGTTAGAAATTTAATTAAATTGATTTATATTTATTAAGTATATTCAAAATTAATAAATTTACCAAAAATAGAAAAAAAAAATCATTTTTTTATGAAACAGACAAAAAAAAAAAAAAGAAAAGAGATCATATATGACGGAGACGGAGGGAGTATAATATAATACCATCATATCATGTCCGCGGTTGACAAGAGTCGCATTGGCGGGCTTATAGCTTGTCTCAAGTCTCCCCAAATACGACACTATTTGAACTTTTTCATTTTTTATGTCGATAGGCGATTGCATTTTGCTTGTCGTGCATTCTTTCCATTCTTCACGGATTTCTCCCCAATGCATCGGCCCAATCTCACTGGCTTCGTCGTAGTTAAATCCTCTCTCATCGTCTATATATATATGTGCATTAACGATATTATAAATTACTTATTTAATATATATTATGAACTATAGGTATGTATGTTTACTTTATGATTTATTTAAATAATAAATTGTAGTATATGATATTAATCTATAAATATATATATATATATGTTTAAAAGTAACTAATATGAATTACCAAGTTCTTGAGCAATGCAGGTAGCTGCAAATAAGAGAATAACAGCAAATAACAAAGCCTCAAGTACTCTTTCACTCTCCATTTTCTTTTTCTTCACCTCATTTATGAACGAGTCATTATAATCAATCAATCAACAACAATAATAATTATTACACACATATATATATATATATATATGAATTACAGTGGCGTGTGAACATTATTATTAGACAAAATAGCATCAAACCTCACAGGTGCTTTGATGAATTTGCTTTGATGAATTTGGTAAAAACCCACCTGGTCTGTAAATTTCATAAAATCTAAGTGTGGTTTTTAAAATACTGCACACTCGTCCATTCTTTTTAATATATACTGACGGTGTTAAATTTTACATTAATTGGCCGTTCTACTTTAACTCTAAATTAAATCCTAAAATTAAATTCTCAAACACAACCCACATTTTTCTATCTCTTTACCGTATCTCTCTTTCTCTCTTCTTAGCCCCTCTCTTCTCTCCCTTTCTCTCTTCTGCTAACCCACGCCTGTCCACCGCGCGCAAGCAGCCGCCAACCACCACCCACCAGCGTCATCTTCTTCTTCCTCCACCTTCGCCACCGCAACCGCCGCCCTTCTCCGCCGAATTCAGTCGCGTCGCGCAACTCCTTCTTCAGCCACGAATCGCCGTTGTCAGCCACCGCCACACGTCCTTAGACGGATTGTTCATTCGGCAGCCTCTCTCTCTCATGTCCTAATTTCACTTATTAATTTTGTTGGAACAAGAATTCTCCAACTTATTTTGACATATGGGCACCTGCATGATCACTTTATCTTCAGCCTTTTATTGTTTCCATTTGGAGTAATCTATCTTATAAGGTTGCAGCAACAGACTGTCTGCAACACTGCTGGATCTTTTCTTCTCGATTTGGGAAGCTTAGGAAAGACAAAAGGAATGGATATTTTGGATGATCAATGATCAACCTTTTACAGACTTCATGCAGAGACACATCATTCCATTTATGTGCAAAAGATTTTAATTGGGTTTGTCTTGCATGCCCTGTATGGCTGCTACTTAGTAAGACGTGTGAGAAGTGTGGTTGTTGTATGGGTTTAGAGAGAGAAATGTAGTGAGAGAAAGTATATATAATCCTCTCAACCCCAATCATTCCCTTCTCCATTTATTAAGTGAGTGTTATACACAGTTATTTCGCTGGAGAGTTGATCGGTCAAAGGAAAATCGGAAATCCGATCAGGAGAGTCATCCAAAATTTGAGCAGCCCTGCTATTTGTTAGTTGTCAATACGCGTTTGTGACAACATATGCCCGTGGAGGGATTTTCCTAGGTGATTAGCATTGTAGTATGGGTTGAAGGAGTTTTGGGTTGTTTGTTCTTAATCACCACATATTGGTGAACTTCTCTTGGATTGGAATTCTCCGGATGTAGGTTGTTTATAACTGAACCGGGTTACCAAATACTTTTTCATTTATTGTTTTGAATGCTGCATTTATTTCTTTGACAAAAAGCTATTACAATTGTGATATAACTGCGCTTCGGGAGTTGACCCATTTGAATAGGTGTTCGAAAGTATACTGGTGAAGCACCTTTTCTTCCCAACATATTCCATCCAAAATTTTCTATTCTATGAAAATTTCTTGGATTTCCTGTGAAATTAGTACAAATTCTCTTCTTCAATGATAGGAAATAATTTGAGGCAAAAATAGATATGATTATCTTTGAATTTGATTTTCATTTTGTTCAAAGAAGGATTTGCCATTTTGTTCAAAGAAGGATTTGTCATTTTGCTCAATAAAATATAATGTGTTTGAATTTAAAAAAAAATGAAGAAAAAGAAGAAGGAGAAGGAGAAGAAGAAGATTGGTGTACTGGCGATGTGTGGCGGTCGTCGGCTGTGGGTGGTGGAAGAGGAGGGCTGCGCTTTTAGACCTGTTGCATGGAAGAAGATGAATTGGAAATTAGATTATTATTATTATTATTATTATTTAATTAGGTTTTTTTAATATAGGTAAAATGACTAAAATAGCCCTCTTCCTTAATTAATATATTTTGAGATGCCTCTAGAGGGGTATTTTTATAATTTTACATAGTTATATATCAATTTTGTATAAAAATCTCAGTTTAAGCGTGTGAGACGGACTTTCCGTTAAGTCATAACGGAAAGAGAGTTTTTTTGCAACATTTTAAAAACTACGAGTAAATTTTATAAAATTTTCAGACCACAGAGAATTTTCAGCATATTTATCAAACCATAGAGGGTTTTATGCTATTTTATCTTACTATTATTATTAATACATAATAATGAATGCATGGCTGTCTATATTTTAATACTTATATGTTTTTTTTTTCTTTTTTTTTTTCTCATTTCAATTCATACATTTTTATTTGATTACAGGTGCTGACACCTTATTGAATAGTTATAAATTAGTTATATATATTTATATTAATTATTTTATTAAACGGTATAAATTAATAATAATTAATATCTCAGTATTTAGTAGGTGCTTAATTTAAAATTGTCAGCACGCAATCTTTGTTATTTTTATTGTTGATAAATTTATTGTATTTTTATTGTTGATAAATTTATTGAATTAAAATATATTTAATAAATATAAATCAATTTAAGTAACTTCATAATATATAATATCATACAATGTATTTCAACTCTTTTATTTCTATATATTTTTTCAATAAATAAATATGTTTTTATCTTCATTTAATTTTTTTTAACAATATTTGGTTTATCTTAATTATATATAAATATATATACTTTTAGGTTATTTGTATTATTTAAATTTTTATTTCTCTACAAAATAATATTCATATTATATATTTTACTGAAATATGAAATTTTAAATGTTTAAACACATATTGTAAATTTATTTTCTAATCTTATATATTAATTTTTATATTAAAATTATAACAATAAAACACATAAAAAAATAATAAAATAATATGTTAATTTAATATTATTAACTAATTAAATTTTATTATTTTAAATACAGTATCACATATGAAAAAAATCATTTCAATCCGAACGGATGGAGTAGTTATGATACCATATATAGTAAATTTAATCTCCATCCCGTCCCACCTTAAAATACTTTTTTATTTTTAAATTTTATAGTAAATATAGAAATAATACTACATATAGAGTTTACAAAAACTAACACAATACGACAATTCGATACGGATCCGACATAAAATAGTTGGGTTTGAGTAAAAGATTTTGATCTGATTATGTATATGGGTTGATACGAACCCAACACAATAATAAACGGATCGGGTTCGGGTTGAAGTCTCAATTCAAATCCGATACGACAATCTGTTTATAATATATTAATATTAATTAATATATTTATATATATAAAAATAATTCTAATTTGATAATTGATTTACGTATTAATTTGAACTATGTTTAATTTTAATTCAATATAATTCACTATATATAGTATATTAGAACCAATTAAAACTAACATAACACGACAATTGAATAAAAAATCATTGGATTTGGATCAAAAATTTCGACCTAATTATATATATGGTCAACAAGAATCCAGAACGATACTAAACGAGTTAACACGAATCCAACACGATAATAAACAAATCGGATTAGATTGAGTGATTTAACCCGTTCAAAGGTATTCAACCCGACAAAAACCCGATACGAATCGACCCATTGCTAGGTCTAATGACTATGTTTATTAAGTAAATATCTATTTGTTTTTCTATGTAAACTTTGAATATTAATATTATATTCATATATAATACAAATTAATAAGAAAAAATAAAAATACTTTTATTTATGTTGTATATATATATATATGTAATGACATGTATATAAAATATTATATAAATATAAAAATATTTTTAATATTAAGTATGTAAAAAACAAATTCATAAGTTAGTAAAAATGTGTAAAAGATTTTACTATTTTTGTCTTAATTATATTCGTGATAATATATTTATAATTTAAATAAAAATTAAAAATATTTAATATTAATACATAATTCTTTTACTAAAATAAGGACGTTTTGAATAATCAGAACGAAAATAATAAAAATAATAATTTGAAAAGAGGCCAAGGAATATCTTTATAAAGTGTGAATGAAAATATGGAGTTAGGTTTTTTTCATAGGCATACAAATTAGAAAAGCCCTTTCTTTGCAATGTTTTTAGGGTGTGATTGTCTGGGGAATTTGATTGGATTTATATTATTCATTCAATTTTTTTTTTCCAAAAACATCAAATCAAATACTTATTTTTTATTTTTATATTATACTAAAAATCAAATTTACATCCAAAGCATCACATCAACATCTATTTATGTCACATCATACGACTATTCAAATTCAAAATTTTTACTATTCAAATTCCAACTCAAAATCCAATACCCAAACAAACAGACCCCAGCAGGGAACACAAATTTAAAATGCCCTCTTTTCATAAAATTTTTATCTTTTTATAATATTTAATATACTAATGTTATAATAATATTACTTTTAAGTTTTAAATAAATTATTTATTAATTATTGCACGGTAAGATGTCAATATTGTGTTCTTTTGTGAGTTTTAGCACTGATTTTTAAGTATTTAGTTTTTTTTCCCAAAAAATATCAAATAAAATAATTATTTTTTCTTATATTATACTCCCTCCGTCCCATAACAAAGTATCTATTTATTTTTTGCGTGTTGATATTTGAAGATTAATTATTATATCAAATCATATTACAAATAAAGAGAAAATGACAAAAATATTTCTACTGGTGTCTTATAATATTAATATAATGACATTTGTATAAAAAATTATACAAATATAAGGATATTTTCAATGTTAAGTACAATGATCCAAAAGACAAATGGATACTTTATTATGGGATGGAGAAAATATTATAAATTTATTTTGCATTCAAAATATCACATCAAACAATTATTCAAATTTTAACTTTTTACTATTCAAAAATCCCAACCCGGCCCAAAACTCAAACCCACAGACAAACACACCCCAAGTTGGTAAAATTTTATCATTTGTCACATTAGAAATATCTTTAAGTTATTACTATTGATATTTAAAAATCTACTTACGAAAA